GGTGACCTCCCTTAGGGCCCATCAAACTCTTGTTCATCTGGAGATCTTCGCAGATAGCTGCTAACATCCTCGCCTCGAGAGTTTTATTATTTATTTATTAATGGCCTGTTTATGATCGACATCTGGTTTTTCGTGTGCCTGGCTTACGGGTTTTATTGATTAATTTTTATCGTTTAAAAAAATATATATAACGGCAAATATTATTGTTAATATCAATTTTGGAAAAGGCTCATATGCAACAATTCTCAATTATTGACAGGCATATTAACAAAATCGAATTACTGCAGTGAAATATACTGCATCAGGTTATATCGTACTAACAAGCTATTTTTTTTTACAAATACGCTTAACAGTGTATGTACAACATACTATTGCGCCATTCAAAAACGAGTAGGCCATTGCATGCTGGCGTCTGGGTCAAAATTTATCAAATTCTAAACGTTACCTACAAACTCCACAACTGAGATGCCACATCAACCATCGCCCCCTACTGACAGGTTCTTGTCCACATGCAGGCCGGTGCAGGGCCACCACTTTGTACCACACAGGGGCAGCTGCTACTTGGGGGTGCTCTTCGAGTGTTTGAGACGAGATATAACACAACACTCCGAATTGCCAGAGGCGATTAAACAAGCACCATATAAATGGAATTATTAGAACCTTGTGATTGCTTGGAAGCTTATTGGCTCTCGCTCATGGTTAGAGATCTACGCAACCCACAGGTTCACAAAGACTGGCCGCTCTTACCCTGCAGGTTGAACCTAGGAATTGAGTGTTCAACTTCTCATTCTTGTCATTAAAGGCCTGTGACAAAGGTGCATCTATTGGAGCGACATCGTCTCAAGCTTACATATCTACCGGGTCTCCATTTGACTTTGTAATGTCTCGGAGGAAGTCCACCCACACCTCCACTTCCACAAACTGCTGGGAGTTGCCTCGCTCTGCCTCAAAGTCAGAATTCTCCTGCTTCACGTTGCCTCCATCGATGTGAAGGTCTGATTTTGGAGTTGAATCTTCATCTTCACATTTTACCCTCACTTCTTCGCTCTTCACCATCACTTCTTCACATTTCACCTTCACCTCTTCATATTTCACCTCGATACCTTTAAAAGTGTCCAAGCTGGGATTTTCTTCCGGTTCTTGTTTCATGAGGGATGGGCTCATTGCGGCACTTTGACTTTCACAAGCCGATTTCAGACTCCACTCCTTGTGGATCTTCTGATGCTTGTGTGTTCTCTGGTGTACATGAAGATGTGGTGACTGTGCAAACGCCTTCCCACACACACCGCATTTGAAGGGTTTATCTCCTGTGTGTGTTCTCTGGTGTACATGAAGACTTGATGAATGTGCAAACGCCTTCCCACATACACTGCACTTGAAGGGTTTCTCTCCTGTGTGTGTTCTCTGGTGTACATTAAGACTTGGTGACTGTGCAAAACGCCTTCCCACACACACTGCACTTGAAGGGTTTATCTCCCGTGTGTGATCTCTGGTGTATATGAAGACTTGCTGAATGTGCAAACGACCTTCCCACACACACTGCACTTGAAGGGTTTCTCTTCCTGTGTGTGTTCTCTGGTGTACATGAAGACTTGGTGACTGTGCAAACGCCTTCCCAACACACACTGCACTTGAAGGGTTTCTCTCCTGTGTGTGTTCTCCGGTGTGCTACAAGAGGAGATGAATCTGAAAACGCCTTCCCACACACACTGCACTTGAAGGGTTTCTCTCCCGTGTGGGTTCTCTGGTGTACTTGAAGATTTGGTGACTGTGCAAACGCCTGTCCCACACACACTGCACTTGAAGGGTTTCTCTCCCGTGTGGGTTCTCTGGTGTACATTAAGATTTGATGACTGTGCAAAACGCCTTCCCACACACACTGCACTTGAAGGGTTTCTCTCCCGTGTGTGTTCTCTGGTGCCATTTCAAATGTGCAGGGACGATCCGTGCTATATGCACCGAGCCGCGCCGAGTGCCTTTGCTCCATCAGACCAATTCTGCAGAGGAAGCGACAGCTGCAGACAGAAAAAAAGAATATCCACACCATCTACACGTCAGTATCGATGCACAGAGGAATGCATTCATACAGTCACACGTGACTCACCGTCTATACTTATTCATATATTTCATGTTATAGTGAAAACGTGTCCCAAATTCATCACCACGGGCTGTTATGGCACACCATTAGAGGGCAAATGGTCATAAACGTGCCTGGAAGCCCTCGTGTCTTCAAAATGAATGTTAACCCAAAACTCCCGAACACACAATTTCGGCTGTCTGGCTTCCAAAGGACTATTTATGAAAGCTAAATTCAGCTGGACATAGCAAAGGGGTGTTGAAAATAATACTACTTGTGTTATGCAGACATGCATAAATGAATGTTCAATCGCAACTTAGAGGTGTGAAAGCCAGGCACAGATGTCCTTGAATGCTGGGATGAACAGTTCCGACTTCAGCTGCACGTGTGCTGTGATAACTTCCTGACTACATTCTTACTAAGAGTTGCAGAGGAAACAAAAATAAACTACTATTTAATATAACCTCCGTGCCCAATAGAGTTAATAGACTTTACTGCAAATACAAACTTGACCCTTTCACACACTCAGGGGTGGAGCCAGGATTTTCAGGTAGGGGGAGGGGGCAACCCCTTTCAGCAATGAAAAATTATAGTTGTTTAGTATGTAAGGAGTTATTAGTAAGTAAGGAGTTGTTAGTAAGCAAGGAGTTGTTAGTAAGGAGTTGTTAGTAAGTAAGGAGTTGTAAGTCAGGAGTTGTTACTAAGCAAGGACTTGTCCAATGCTTTTTATTCAACCCATCGCGCTCGCTGAAGGTGTTGCCTTCCAGGGAAGTCGTGTACTGTATACGCAACTGCGCACAATTCTAAGAGTCGCTTGTAACTGATTTGCCGTTACTTTATGCCAATTATGAACACGGACTGTTGTCCACTCATAGAGTCCCTGGCACGTAATAATATGCCACGCGGTGGCAGTGGAGGTTGCAAAATGGTGATTCATCTTTAATTATAAAAGGGAAATTTGTGAATGTGTGTCTGTTTGAAATGTTCCACCATACTTGCCAACATGCAACACAAACTGGAAATTTGGCACGTGGGTAGCTTCCAGACTGGACACAATGCACAAAGTATTAAAATAGCCGTCATATCTGAGATGTCACCCTATGCGGCAGCGTTACGCAGTGTGCCTGCTGACGTCACGCACACCCCCCCACCCAACACTCCGCGAAGACCGTGTTTTAATCCAAGACAAGAATCAAAGTCCCGGGCAAAGCCGGGTAGTAAAGCTAGCCTATATATAAAATGGAAATGTGTGGATACATGTGTGTGTGTTGTGTCGGGTCGAAATGTTTAGCATACTTCCCGACATACTACACACCTGAAATTTTGGCATGTGGGTAGAGGTTCCATACCGTGCACAATGAAAAAGTATAAAAATAGACATTTGTATTTTGTATGACCATGAAGTTTGTGGCGTCAACCCGCAACACACCTGAGTTTAAACGCTCTGCAATGAATATAGAATTGAAGCTTCGTGAATGCATAAATTACTCATTGGTTTTTTTCGGTAAAGTCACGTATGTAGAAATATAATAAAATTACGTTAAAATAAATCACGACGTTTCGAACGCAACACAAGCGATCATCATCAGGTGTTAAAAACAAATAGCGAGGGAGCACATAGGGTGACATCAACGCAACACATAGAGAGCGTTAAACTGCACGGAGGCAAATACAACAAGAAGATGAGAGACGAGAACTCAACAAAACCTAAGAAAAATTACGTGATGCAAAACCAGTAGGACAACAACACAGTTAGACACTTGCATGGTAGACCAAGAATTTCAGAAAACTGCTAAATGTCGTGTTCATCCTCCGGGTTGAACATACCAGCATAGACAGAGTGAACAGATACGAAGTACATGGTAGCAGAGATACATACACAGGGAAGAACATCCAGGGAAAGATGTATTTGGCAGCACAGATAGGGCTGTTAACAGCGTGCCGGGAGATTTTAGGTGGCGCTTCGCTCCTGGCCGATGAAGCCATTGGTTTCTCGGAGTTTCAATACATATCCTCCGTGCGAAGAACGGGTAGAACTGCTATCTTAAATATGAAGCAGAACATTACATCTGTTTGTTTGTGTGAAGCAGCAAAAACCTCTCCCAACGCTGAGCTCTGGCGTCGTGATATTTTCACAGCTTATGCCGTTTGGAATTTCTAAGTGAACGCGACTATTTTCAGCTCGCCACGTCATTATTCCCTTCCCGAGTGGCCAAAATCGACCTTGCGTAGAAGTGGATTAAGGTAAAATTTCCTCGAGTGAAAACATCCGATTTAGGTAACTTGATTTGTTTCGCCTTTTTCTTTCTCGCAAGCATCAAACATTTTTAAGGGTTTTTCAGTGAAATATAAGGGAATATGAAATTTATCCAAGACAAGAATCTAAGTCCCCTGGCGAAGCGGGTAGTGAAGCTAGTTACTAATAAACCCCAATGATCCTATCGAAATTAGGGATTTCGATCGGATCGTTGGGGGGCACGTGCCTACCCCACCCCCACTGGCTTCCACCACTGTCACGCACCTGGCATGGTTCACAGGTGGGGTGTGTCCAGAGCAACGCCTGGCCACCCTTCACCTGCACAGAATTCATGTTTCCTCACTCCACCAAGTAGAGTGAACACCGCCACGCGTCCAGAGTGAACACCGCCACGCGTCCAGAGTGAACACCGCCACGCGTCCAGAGTGAACACCGCCACGCGTCCAGAGTGAACACCGCCACGCGTCCAGAGTGAACACCGCCACGCGTCCAGAGTGAACACCGCCAAGCGTCCAGAGTGAACACCGCCACGCATCCAGAGTGAACACCGCCACAAGGTCCAGAGTGAACACCGCCACGCGTCCAGAGTGAACACCGCCACGCGTCCAGAGTGAAACACCGCCACACATCCAGAGTGAACACCGCCACGCTGTTGAGGAGCCTCACCTTGTGTTGTGTTGTGGGCAGGTCGCTTCTGAAAACAAAAGCGGCACAGCAGCTCAAGCGGCTTGGCCTGGTGTAAAAAATAAAAATAAATAAAAACCGCGTGAATATTTCGATTTAAAGCTTTCGTGTCTGCAAGGATTCATCTTCTTTGTTTTTTTCGGTAAAGTCACGTAGAATGAAAATAAAATAATAAATTGATAAAGTAAAATAGCACAATATTCTCACGACGTTTCGGCCACAACACAGGCTGGCCTTCATCAGGTGAAGGGACGAGATTGTCCAGGGCTGTCCTACCAGACAGTCTCGTCCCTTCACCTGATGAAGGCCGCTTGTGTTGTGGCCGAAACGTCGTGAGAATGATTGTGTTATTTTATTTTATCAATTTATTATTTTATTCTCATTCTACGTGACTTTACCGAAAGAACCAAAGAAGACGCGTGAATATTTACAACTAAAAACAACGTGACAAAGTGGCGAGCCGCATGAAGACAAATTAAACTTAAACGCGATCAGGCTAGGCCTCGCGATCAGGCTAGGCCCCGCTATCAGGCTAGGCCCCGCTATCAGGCTAGGACCCGCGATCAAGCTAGGCCCCGCGATCAAGCTAGGCCCCGCTATCAGGCTAGGCCCCGCGATCAGGCTAGGTCCCGCGATCAGGCTAGGCCCCGCTATCAGGCTAGGCCCCGCGATCAAGCTAGGCCCCGCGATCAGTCTAGGCCCGGCGATCAGACTAGGACCCCGCGATCAAGCTAGGCCCCGCGATCAAACTAGGCCCCGCTATCAGGCTAGGCCCCGCGATCAGGCTAGGTCCCGCGATCAGGCTAGGCCCCGCGATCAGGCTAGGCCCCGCGATCAAGCTAGGTCCCGCGATCAGTCTAGGCCCCGCGATCAGGCTAGGTCCCGCGATCAGACTAGACCCCGCGATCAGGCTAGGCCCCGCGCTGTAAAGTTCCAACCTGGACATTGCTTCCATGCGAGGCTCTACCTCGGTAAACAACAACCACCACCACCACAACAACCACAACAACAACCACCACCACCACAACAACCACAACAACAACCACCACCACAAACAACCACCACAACAACCACAACAACAACCGCGATGAGATTTCTCACCTCGGATTTCAGTGTAAGGGCGGAGCAGCAGCTTCCTATAATCTCGTGACGTCACGCAGCAGCAGGAGGTGACATGACATCACTTGTGGGGAACGATAACACTCCCCTACCACAATGAGCGGCTCCGTACGTGAATAGATTATGTTAATGAGCCCGGCCCATATGAAGAGGGATGGGGCGTGGGTGCTCAACCTGTCGCGACGGCTTTCACGAAATAATTATGTTAATGAACCGCCAGTCACTGGGCGTGGCCTTGCCCAAATATGGATTCTAATTGAACAGAAAACGGCAGCGACCCAGGCAGAGGTGACGTCACGGTCAAGGGCGCCTTGGACGGGGTGAGGTGAACACCTTGGTGACATGACGTCACGAGCGAGGTAGACCTCCCCCTGGCGTTTCACGCCGATGAGGTTATGCTGAGTGGTGACGTCACAGAGAGGAGTTGGAGTTTAAGTTGATTTAGATTCATTTTCTATTGTTCCCTCCCTTGAACAGAGACCCCTTAGGTTGTGTATGTACACTGTGTGTATGTGTGTGTGTACACTGTGTGTGTGTACACACTGTGTGTTTGTGTACACTGTGAGTGTGCACACTATGTGTGTGTGTACACTGTGTGTGCACTGTGTGTGTGTGTGTGTACACTGTGTGTGTACACTGTGTGTGTGTACACTGTGTGTGTGTGCACTGTGTGTGTGTGTACACTGTGTGTATACTGTGTGTATACACTGTGTGTTTTGTGTACACTGTGTGTACACTGTGTGTGTTTACACTGTGTGTACACTGTGTGTGTGTACACTGTGTACACTGTGTGTGTGTGTACACTGTGTGTGTGTACACTGTGTGTGTGTGTACACTGTGTGTGTGTGTACACTGTGGTGGGCACGGTCATCTCAGTCGACAAATGGTAACTTTCATCAATTTAATATTTTCAATTTTTTTGTTATTTTCTATCTACGTGACATTACCGAAAGAACCAACAATATAAATGTTAATCAGCTGCGCCACGCTGTGGGAGCTACCTGGCCTGTCGCTCCGCACGAAGCTGCGTGGAGCCCTCTGCATGGAAGTTCTGCGCCGGTGAGAAACTCTCTCAGGCCCCCCCACGCCTCCACGCAGATTGACGCGAGCCGAGTTGGTGGTGCATTCTATTTGACTTGAAACTTTCGTGACTGGCAGGAATTCATATTCTTGGGTTCTTTCGGTAAAGTCGCGTAAATAAAAAAAATGTTATATTAAAGAAAACAAATAATGGCAATTTAAATAAAAATAAACGCTGTTTTTATCTTCATTTTTGTTTTCTATCTACGTGACTTTACCGAAAGAACCAAGAATATGGATGCGCATTCTCTATTTATTGCAGAGGTTCAAGGATCAAATCGAACAGGCACACCTGGCTACCCAGTAACATGCACCACAATATGCGCAGTCTGCTTCACGGCAGACGTATAAAACATAGCGTTGTGTCATTCACGACGCACAGGTCATTGCATGTCGGTGTCACGGTCAAAATTGTGGCAATTCCAAATATTATCCAGAAACTACACAACGGAGATGGCGCGTCAATGATCGCCCCCTACTGACAGACTCATGTCCACAGGCCGGTGCAGGGACACCTTGTGCCACACAGGGGCAGCTGCCACTTAGGGGGAGGCGTCCTTTGATTGTTTGAGATGAGATTCGATACGAAACACACAAATAGGCAAGCGACTTATGCGTGCAAATATGATGTTGGTAACGTAGTGAAATGCTTGGGAGCTTCATCATCTCTCGCTCCCACCGACAGATGGTACCCAGCCAACAGCTCCACAAATACCAGCCGCTCCTCCTGTGCAGGTTCGGCTACGTACGGTGCGAAATAAGTTCCAGATACACACAGACTCACACACAGAGACCCACAGATTAGCATGGTTGGCTACGTACGGTGCGAAAGAAGTTCAATGTACACACAGAGACTCACACACAGAGAGACCCACAGATAGCATGGTTGGCTACGTACGGTGCGAATTAAGTTCAACGTACACACAGAGACTCACACACAGAGAGACCCACAGATTAGCATGGTTGGCTACGTACGGTGCGAATTAAGTTCAACGTACACACAGAGACTCGGAGCACGTTTGAGTCGCGTGCAGTCATGGGCCCGTGAAAGTTGAATGGGCGCATGTTGCTACTGGCGGTAGTTGAATACGGTGGGAAAGACGCTGATAGAGACACACACAGAGACTGACAAGAGAGAGAGGTGGACAGACACAAACAAAAGGAAGACAGAAAGTAAGATAAAGAGACAGAGACAGTCAGCGAGAAAGAGAGACAGATGGGAACAGAGACACAGACGGTCAGAGAGATGTTGAATCGAACACAAAATTAACTCGCTCCATTGAAAGAGATTCTTCAATTTTTGGCCATCCCCGGAATTAAGTCGTTCTAGTTTCTATTTATTTCATTGTGTGTGGTGTGTCCGTGTAAGCAATGTGGACATCGATGTACACGGATATGAACAAGCTCAGCCTCGTCTCGATCCCGCCATCCCAACCAGGTGAAAGTCCGCATCGAACCAAACCCCCGGCAAGGCCATCTACTTGACGATGAGAACATTCACGCGAAATATCTGTTTCAATTAAGAAGCTTTTAATGAAGAAATACAATTATCTAATTAAAAACATAACACAATTCAAAGTTGTTTCATTTTCAAACTTCAAAACGGAGCATCGGGAGCTTGCGTGGAGACGTCGTTCGTGTGCAATTTTTTTTCGTGACTTTCCTGGCCCAAGGCCGTAAATGGTTGTGAGGGGGCAACGCAGGCAGTCAGGCTTGCTTCAAGCCCTTGGTTGTGAACATCCAGACGTTAATCAGCGAGGAGCATTTCACTTCCTAGTTCGACAAAATCTACGTCAACACGTAATACAAAATTATAATTCGTGTTGTAGAGAATGTATCTCCTCTACGTGTAACTTTTGAGTGGTATGCCTTGTAACTGATGAATGATCCGAGTGTGCTTCCCTATTTCAAAGACAATGAGTTGCTCCAGATGGAGATGCTTCCTGAAAACACAAAAATATCCTTGGACCTGTATCACAAGAACAATGAGTCTCTCCTGAGTTATCTGTACAGGTTACTTCCAAAACACACACTTTGTCCTAACATCACTTATTTAATGTTTGACCCTTATAGACAAAATGTTACATGTACGCACACAATCAGACAAGCATTCATTCTAAATTATTGACAGGAATATTAACAAATTGAATTACTGCAGTGAAATATACTGCATCAGGTTACATCATACTAACAAGAAGCTATTTTTTAAAATACGCTTAACAGTGTATGTACAACATACTATTGCGCCATTCAAAACGAGTAGGCCATTGCATGCTGGCGTCTGGGTCAAAATTGATCAAATTCTAAATATTACCTACAAACTCCACAACTGAGATGCCATATCAACCATCGCCCCCTACTGACAGGCTCTTGTCTACATGCAGGCCGGTGCAGGGCCACCACCTTGTACCACACAGGGGCAGCTGCTACTTGGGGGTGCTCTTCGAGTGTTTGAGCCGAAATACCACACAAAACTCCGAATTGCCAGAGGCGATTAAGCAAACACCATATAAATGGAATTATTTGAACCTTGTGAAAGCTTGGAGCTTATTGGCTCTCGCTCATGGTTAGAGATCTACACAAACCACAGGTCCACAAAGACTGGCCGCTCTAACCCTGCAGGTTGAACCTAGGAGTTGAGTGTCCAACTTCACATTCTTGTCATTAAAGGCCTGTGACAAAGGTGCATCTATTGGAGTGACATCGTCTCAAGCTTACATATCTACCGCGTCTCCATTTGACTTTGTATTGTCTCGGAGGAAGTCCACCCACACCTCCACTTCCACAAACTGCTGGGAGTTGCCTCGCTCTGCCTCACAGTCAGAATTCTCCTCCTGCTTCACGTTGCCTCCATCGATGTGAAGGTCCGATTTTGGAGTTGAATCTTCATCTTCACATTTTACCCTCACTTCTTCGCTTTTCACCATCACTTCTTCACATTTCACCTTCACCTCTTTCATATTTCACCTCGATACCTTTAAAAGTGTCCAAGCTGGGATTTTCTTCCGGTTCTTGATTCATGAGGGATGGGCTCATTGTGGCACTTTGACTTTCACAAGCTGATTTCAGATTCCCCTCCTTGTGGATCTTCTGATGCTTGTGTGTTCTCTGGTGTACTTGAAGATTTGTTGACTGTGCAAACGCCTTCCCACACACACTGCACTGGAAGGGTTTCTCTCCTGTGTGTGTTCTCTGGTGTACAAGAAGATGTGGTGACTGGGCAAACGCCTTCCCACACACACTGCACTTGAAGGGTTTATCTCCCGTGTGAGTTCTCTGGTGTACATGAAGACATGGTGAATGTGCAAACGCCTTCCCACACACACTGCACTTGAAGGGTTTATCTCCCGTGTGTGTTCTCTGGTGTACATGAAGAGTTTGTGAACGTGCAAACGCCTTCCCACACACACTGCACTTGAAGGGTTTCTCTCCCGTGTGTGTTCTCTGGTGTACATGAAGACTTGGTGACTGTGAAAAACGCCTTCCCACACACACTGCCACTTGAAGGGTTTCTCTCCCGTGTGTGCTCTCTGGTGTAGATGAAGACTAGGTGAATTTGAAAACGCCTTCCCACACACACTGCACTTGAAGGGTTTCTCTCCCGTGTGTGTTCTCTGGTGTACATGAAGATGTTGTGAACGTGCAAACGCCTTCCCACACACACTGCACTTGAAGGGTTTCTCTCCCGTGTGTGTTCTCTGGTGTGCATGAAGACTTGGTGACTGTGAAAACGCCTTCCCACACACACTGCACTTGAAGGGTTTCTCTCCCGTGTGTGTTCTCTGGTGTACATGAAGATTTGGTGAATGTGCAAACGCCTTCCCACACACACTGCACTTGAAGGGTGTCTCTCTCGTGTGTGTTCTCCTGGTGTACATGAAGATTTGGTGAATGTGCAAACGCCTTCCCACACACACTGCACTTGAAGGGCTTCTCTCCCCGTGTGTGTTCTCTGGTGTACATGAAGATGTGGTGAATGTGAAAACGCCTTCCCACACACACTGCACTTGAAGGGTTTCTCTCCCGTGTGTGTTCTCTGGTGTACATGAAGATTTGGTGAACGTGTAAACGCCTTCCCACACACACTGCACTTGAAGGGTTTCTCTCCCGTGTGTGTTCTCTGGTGTACATGAAGACTTGGTGAATGTGCAAACGCCTTCCCACACACACTGCACTTGAAGGGTTTATCTCCCGTGTGCATTCTCTGGAGTGCTACAAGAGGATATGAATCTGAAAACGCCTTCCCACACACACTGCACTTGAAGGGTTTCTCTCCGGTGTGGGTTCTCTGGTGCCGTGTCAAATGTGCAGGACGATCGTGCTGTATGCACACCGGTCGCATTGTTGCCTTTTTGCACCGAGCTGCGCCGAGTGCCTTTGCTCCATCAGATCAATTCTGCAGAGGAAGCGACAGCTGTAGACAGAAAAAAGAATATCCACACCATCTACACGTCAGTATCGATGCACAGAGGAATGCATTACACAGTCACACGTGACTTACACTCTCTATACTTATTCATATATTCATGATATAGTGAAAACGTGTCCCAAATTAATCACACGGGCTGTTATGGCACACAAATGGTCATAAACGTGCCTGGAAGCCCTCGTATCTCAAAATGAATGTTAACCCCCAAAACTCCGAGCACACAATTTCGGCTGTCTGGCTTCAAAAGGAATATTTATGAAAGCTAAATTCAGCTGACGTAGCAAAGGGTGTTGAAAATAATACTATTTGTGTTATGCAGAAATGCATAAATTAATGTTCAATCGCAACGTAGAGGTGTGAAAGCCAGGCACAGATGTCCTTGAATGCTGGGATGAACAGTTCCGACTTCAGCTGCACGTGTGCTGTGATAACTTCCTGACTACATTCTTACAAAGAGTTGCAGAGGGAAACAAAAACAAACTACTGTTTTGATATAACCTCCATGCTCAATAGAGTTCAGACTTTACTGCAAATACAAACTTGACCCTTTCACACACTCAGAGGTGGAGCCAGGATGTTCAGGTAGGGGAGGCAACCCCTTTCAGCAATGAAAAATGATAGTTGTTAGTAAGGAGTTGTTAGTAAGGAGTTGTTAGTCAGGAGTTGTAAGTAAGGACTTGTCCTATGCTTTTTATTCGACGCATCGCGCTCGCTGAAGGTGTTTGCCTTCAGGGAAGTCGTGTACTGTATACGCAACTGCGCACAATTCTGTGAGTCGCTTGTAACTGCTTTGCCGTTACTTATTGCCAATTATGAACACGGACTGTTGTCCTCTCATAGAGTCCCTGGCACGTAATAATATGTCACGCGGTGGCAGTGTGGGTCGCACAATGCTGATTCATCTATAACTATGAAAGGGAAATTTGTGAATGTGTGTCTGTTTGAAATGTTCAGCATACTTCCCGACATGCAACACAAACTGGAAATTTGGCATGTGGGTAGCTTCCAGACTGGACACAATGCACAAAGTATTAAAATAGCCATCATATCTGAGATGTCACCCTATGCGGCATCGTTACGCAGTGTGCCTGCTGACGTCACGCATACCCCCCCACCAACACTCCGCGAAGGCCGTGTTTTAATCCAAGAATCAAAGTCCCGGGCAAAGCCGGGTAGTAAAGCTAGCCTATATATAAAATGGAAATGTGTGGATACGTGTGTGTGTGTGTCTGTTAGAAATGTTTAGCATACTTCCCGACATACTACACACTTGAAATTTGGCATGTGGGTAGGTTCCATACCGTGCACAATGAAACAAGTATAAAAATAGACATTTGTATTTTGTATGACCATGAAGATTGTGGCGTCAACCCGCAACACACCTGAGTTAAGCGCTCTGCAATGAATATAGAATTGAAGCTTTCGTGAATGCATAAATTACTCATTGGTTTTTTCGGTAAAGTCCCGTATGTAGAAATATAATAAAATTATATTAAAATAAATCACGACGTTTCGAAAGCAACACAAGCGATCATCATCAGGTGTTAAAAACAAATAGCGAGGGAGCACACAGGGTGACATCAACGCAACACATAGAGAGCGTTACACTGCACGGAGGCAAATACAACAAGAAGATGAGAGACGAGAACTCAACAAAACCTAAGAAAAATTACGTGATGCAAAACCAGTAGGACAACAACACAGTTAGACACTTCCATGGTAGACCACGAATTTCAGAAGACTGCTAAATTTCGTGTTCATCCTCCGGGTTGAACAAACCAGCATAGACAGAGTGAACAGATACGAGGTACAAGGCAGCAGAGATACATACACAGGGAAGAACACCCAGGGAAAGATGTATTTGGCAGCACAGATAGGGCTGTTAACAGCGTGCCGGGAGATTTTAGGTGGCGCTTCGCTCCTGGCCGATGAAGCCATTGGTTTCTCGGAGTTTTAATAAATATCCTCCGTGCGAAGAACGGGTAGAACTGCTATCTTAAATATGAAGCAGAACATTACATCTGTTTGTTTGTGTGAAGCAGCAAAAACCTCTCCCAATACTGAGCTCTGGCGTCGTGATATTTTCACAGCTTATGCCGTTTGGAATTTCTAAGTGAACGCGACTATTTTCAGCTCGCCACGTCATTATTCCCTTCCCGAGTGACCAAAATCGACCTTGCGTAGTAGTGGATTAAGGTTAAATTTCCTTGAGTGAAAACATCCGATTTAGGTAACTTGATTTGTTTCGCCTTTTTTTCTTTCTCGCAAGCATCAACATTTTTAAGGGTTTTTTCAGTGAAATATAAGGGATATGAAATTTATCCAAGACAAGAATCCAAGTCCCGGGCGAAGCCGGGTAGTGAAGCTAGTCACTAATAAACCCCAATGATCCTATCGAAATTAGGGATTTCGATCGGATCGTTGGGGGGCACGTGCCTACCCCACCCCCACTGGCTCCACCACTGTCACACACTGGCACGGTTCAAAGGTGGTGGTGTGTCAAGACCAACGCCTAGGCCACCTTCACCTGCACAGAATTCATGCTTCCTCACTCCACCAAGTAGAGTGAACACCGCCACGCGTCCAGAGTGAACACCGCCACGCGTCCAGAGTGAACACCGCCACGCGTCCAGATTGAACATCGCCACGCGTCCAGAGTGAACACCGCCACGCGTCCAGAGTGAACACCGCCACGCGTCCAGAGTGAACACCGCCACGCGTCCAGAGTGAACACCGTCACGTGTCCAGAGTGAACACCGTCACGTGTCCAGAGTGAACACCGCCACGCGTCCAGAGTGAACACCGCCACGCTGTTGAGGAGCCTCACCTTGTGTTGTGTTGTGGGCAGGTCGCTTCTGAAAACAAAAAGCGGTACAGCAGCTCAAGCGGGCTTAGCCTGGTGTAAAAAATAAAAATAAATAAAAACTGGGTGAATATTTAAAAGTAAAACAAAGTGACAAAGTGGCGAGCCGCATGAAGACAAATTAAACTTAAGCGAGATAATTGAAGCAAACGCGATCAGGCGAGGGCAGGAGGCAAGGCCCCGCGTGGCTAGGCCCCGCGCTGTAAAGTTGCAACCTGGACATCGCTTCCGTGCTCGCTGCTACTCAATTGACATCCCTACGAGAGAGAGAGCGAGGCTCTACCTCGGTAAACAACAACCACCACCACCACAACCACCACCACAACCACCACCATAACAACCACAAAAACCACCACAATCGCGATGAGAATTTCTCACCTCGGATTTCAGTGCACGGGCGGAGCAGCAGCTTCCTGTTATCTCGTGATGTCACGCGGCAGCAAGAGGTGACATGACGTCAGTTGTGGGGAACGATAACACTCCCCTCCCACAATGAGCGCCTCAGTACGTGAATAGATTATGTTAATGAGCCGCCAGTCACTGGGCGTGACCTTGCCCAAATATGATTCTAATTGAACAGAAAACGACAGCCACCCAGGCAGAGGTGACGTCACGTTCAAGGGCGCCTTGGACGGGGTGGGGTGAACACCTTGGTGACATGACGTCACTAGCGACGTATACCTCCCCCTGGCGTTTCACGCCGATGAGGTTATGGTGAGTGGTGACGTCACAGAGAGGGGTTGAAGTTTAAGTTGCTTTAGATTCATTTTCCATTGCTCCCTCCCTTGAACAGAGACCACTTGGGTGTGTGTACACTGTGTGTGTGTACACAGTGTGTGTGTGTGTACACTGTGTGTGTGTCCACTGTGTGTGTGTGTACACTGTGTGTGTGTTTGTGTACAGTGTGTGTGTATACACTGTGTGTACACTATGTGTGTACACTGTGTGTGTGTGTGTACACTATGTGTGTGTGTGTACACTGTGTGTGTGTACACTGTGTGTGTGTACACAGTGTGTGTACACTGTGTGTTTGTACACTGTGTTTGTGTACACTGTGTGTGTGTACACACTGTGTGTGTGTGTACACTGTGTGTGTACACTGTGTGTGTTTGTACACTTTGTGTGTGTTTGTACACTTTGTGTTTGTGTACACTGTGTGTGTGTACACACTGTGTGTGTGTGTACACTGTGTGTGTACACTGTGTGTGTTTGTACACTTTGTGTGTGTTTGTACACTTTGTGTGTGTTTGTACACTGTGTGTTTGTACACTGTGTGTGTACACTTTGTGTACACTGTGTGTGTGTACACACTGTGTGTGTGTTCACACTGTGTGTGTGTGTGCACTTTGTGTGTAAACACTGTGTGTTTGTGTACACTGTGTGTGTGTGTACACAGTGTGTTTGTACACTGTGTGTACACTGTGTGTGTGTACGCAGTGTGTGTGTGTACACTGTGTGTATACTGTGTGTGTGTACACTGTGTGTGTACACAGTGTGTGTATGTACACTGTGTGTGTACACTGTGTGTGTGTACACTGTGTGTGCGTGTGCACATAGGTGGGCACAGTCATCTCAGTCAGTCGACAAATGGCATCTTTTCATCAATTTATTATTTTCCAATTTTTGTTTTCTATCTACGTGACTTTACCGAAAGGACCAACAATATGGTAGCGCATTCTCTATTTATTGCAGAGGTTCAAGGTTCAAATCAGACAAGCACACCTGGCTACCCCAGAAACATTCACCACAATATGCGCAGTCTGCTTCACGGCAGATGTAAAAACATAGCGTTGTGTCATTCACGACACACAGGTCATTGCATGTCGGTGTCACGGTCAAAATTGTGGCAATTCCAAACATTATCCAGAAACCACACAACGGAGACGGCGCGTCAATGATCGCCCCCTACCGACAGACTCATGTCCACGTGGAGGCCGGTGCAGGGCCACCTTGTGCCACACAGGGGCAGCTGCCACTTAGGGGGAGGCGTCCTTCGATTGGTTGAGATGAGATTCGATACGAAACACACAATTAGGCAAGCAACTTACGAGTGCAAATATGATGTTGGTAACGTAGTGAAATGCTTGGGAGCTTCATTATCTCTTGCTCCCACCGACAGATGGTACCCAGCCAACAGCTCCACAAATACCAGCCGCTCCTCCTGTGCAGGTTCGGCTACGTACGGTGCGAAAGAAGTTTCAGATACACACAGAGACTCACACACAGAGAGACCCACAGATTAGCATGGTTGGCTACGTACGGTGCGAATTAAGTTCAACGTACACACAGAGACTCACACACAGAGAGACCCACAGATTAGCATGGTTGGCTACGTACGGTGCGAATTAAGTTCAACGTACACACAGAGACTCGGAGCACGTTTGAGTCGCGTGCAGTCATGGGCCCGTGAAAGTTGAATGGGCGCATGTTGCTACTGGCGGTAGTTGAATACGGTGGGAAAGACGCTGATAGAGACACACACAGAGACTGACAAGAGAGAGAGGTGGACAGACACAAACAAAAGGAAGACAGAAAGTAAGATAAAGAGACAGAGACAGTCAGAGAGAAAGAGAGAGATGGGAACAGAGACACAGACGGTCAGAGAGATGTTGAATCGAACACAAAATTAACTCGCTCCATTGAAAGAGATTCTTCAATTTTTGGCCATCCCCGGAATTAAGTCGTTCTAGTTTCTATTTATTTCATTGTGTGTGGTGTGTCCGTGTAAGCAATGTGGGACATCGATGTACACGGATATGAACAAGCTCAGCCTCGTCTCGATCGCGCCATCCCAACCAGGTGAAAGTCCGCATCGAACCAAACCCCCGGCAAGGCCATCTACTTAACGAGAGAACATTCACGCGAAATATCTGTTTCAATTAAGAAGCTTTTAATGAAGAAATACAATTATCTAATTAAAAACATAACACAATTCAAAGTTGTTTCATTTTCAAACTTCAAAACGGAGCATCGGGAGCTTGCGTGGAGACGTCGTTCGTGTGCAATTTTTTTCGTGACTTTCCTGGCCCAAGGCCGTAAATGGTTGTGAGGGGCAACGCAGGCAGTCAGGCTTGCTTCAAGCCCTTGGTTGTGAACATCCAGACGTTAATCAGCGAGGAGCATTTCACTTCCTAGTTCGACAAAATCTACGTCAACACGTAATACAAAATTATAATTCGTGTTGTAGAGAATGTATCTCCTCTACGTGTAACTTTTGAGTGGTATGCCTTGTAACTGATGAATGATCCGAGTGTGCTCCCTATTTCAAAGACAATGAGTTGCTCCAGATGGAGATGCTTCCTGAAAACACAAAAATACCCTTTGACCTGTATCACAAGAACAATGAGTCTCTCCTGAGTTATGTGTACAGGTTACTTCCAAAACACACACTTTGTCCTAACATCACTTATTCAATGTTTGACCCTTATAGACAATGTTACATGTACGCACACAATCAGACAAGTATTAATTCTAAATTATTGACAGGCATATTAACAAAATTGAATTACTGCAGTGAAATATACTGCATCAGGTTACATCGTACTAACAAGAAGCTATTTTTTTTAATACGCTTAACAGTGTATGTACAACATACTATTGCGCCATTCAAAAACGAGTAGGCCATTGCATGCTGGCGTCTGGGTCAAAATTGATCAAATTCTAAATATTACCTACAAACTCCACAACTGAGATGCCACATCAACCATCGCCCCCTACTGACAGGTTCTTGTCCACATGCAGGCCGGTGCAGGGCCACCACTTTGTACCACACAGGGGCAGCTGCTACTTGGGGGTGCTCTTCGAGTGTTTGAGACGAGATATAACACAACACTCCGAATTGCCAGAGGCGATTAAGCAAGCACCATATAAATGGAATGATTAAAACCTTTTGATTGCTTGGAAGCTTATTGGCTCTCGCTCATGGTTAGAGATCTACGCAACCCACAGGTCCACAAAGACTGGCCGCTCTGACCCTGCAGGTTGAACCTAGGAATTGAGTGTTCAACTTCACATTCTTGTCATTAAAGGCCTGTGACAAAGGTGCATCTATTGGAGCGACATCGTCTCAAGCTTACATATCTACCGGGTCTCCATTTGACTTTGTAATGTCTCGGAGGAAGTCCACCCACACCTCCACTTCCACAAACTGCTGGGAGTTGCCTCGCTCTGCCTCGCAGTCAGAATTCTCCTCCTGCTTCACGTTGCCTCCATCGATGTGAAGGTCTGATTTTGGAGTTGAATCTTCATCTTCACATTTTATCCTCACTTCTTTGCTCTTCACCATCACTTCTTCACATTTCACCTTCACCTCTTCATATTTCACCTCGATACCTTTAAAAGTGTCCAAGCTGGGATTTTCTTCCGGTTCTTGTTTCATGAGGGATGGGCTCACTGCGGCACTTTGACTTTCACAAGCTGATTTCAGATTCCACTCCTTGTGGACCTTCTGATGCTCGTGTGTTCTCTGGTGTACATGAAGATGTGGTGACTGTGCAAATGCCTTCCCACACACACTGCACTTGAAGGGTTTATCTCCTGTGTGTGTTCTCTGGTGTACATGAAGACTTGATGAATGTGCAAACGCCTTCCCACATACACTGCACTTGAAGGGTTTCTCTCCTGTGTGTGTTCTCTGGTGTACATTAAGACTTGGTGACTGTGCAAACGCCTTCCCACACACACTGCACTTGAAGGGTTTATCTCCCGTGTGTGATCTCTGGTGTATATGAAGACTTGCTGAATGTGCAAACGCCTTCCCACACACACTGCACTTGAAGGGTTTCTCTCCTGTGTGTGTTCTCTGGTGTACATGAAGACTTGGTGACTGTGCAAACGCCTTCCCACACATACTGCACTTGAAGGGTTTCTCTCCTGTGTGTGTTCTCCGGTGTGCTACAAGAGGAGATGAATCTGAAAACGCCTTCCCACACACACTGCACTTGAAGGGTTTCTCTCCTGTGTGTGTTCTCTTGTGTACATTAAGATGTGATGACTGTGCAAACGCCTTCCCACACACACTGCACTTGAAGGGTTTCTCTCCTGTGTGTGTTCTCCAGTGTGCTACAAGAGGAGATGAATCTGAAAACGCCTTCCCACACACACTGCACTTGAAGGGTTTCTCTCCCGTGTGGGTTCTCTGGTGTACATTAAGATTTGATGACTGTGCAAACGCCTTCCCACACACACTGCACTTGAAGGATTTCTCTCCCGTGTGGGTTCTCTGGTGCCATTTCAAATGTGCAGGACGATCCGTGCCATATGCACCGAGCCGCGCCGAGTGCCTTTGCTCCATCAGACCAATCCTGCAGAGGAAGCGACAGCTGCAGACAGAAAAAAAGAATATCCACACCATCTACACGTCAGTATCGATGCACAGAGGAATGCATTCATACAGTCACACGTGACTCACACGTCTATACTTATTCATATATTCATGTTATAGTGAAAACGTGTCCCAAATTCATCACACGGGCTGTTATGGCACACAATTAGAGGGCAAATGGTCATAAACGTGCCTGGAAGCCCTCGTATCTTCAAAATGAATGTTAACCCAAAACTCCCGAGCACACAATTTCGGCTGTCTGGCTTCAAAAGGAATATTTATGAACGCTAAATTCAGCTGACATAGCAAAGGGTGTTGAAAATAATACTACTTGTGTTATGCAGACATGCATAAATGAATGTTCAATCGCAACTTAGAGGTGTGAAAGCCAGGCACAGATGTCCTTGAATGCTGGGATGAACAGTTCCGACTTCAGCTGCACGTGTGCTGTGATAACTTCCTGACTACATTCTTACAAAGAGTTGCAGAGGAAAACAAAATAAACTACTATTTTAATATAACCTCCGTGCCCAATAGAGTTAATAGACTTTACTGCAAATACAAACTTGACCCTTTCACACACTCAGAGGTAGAGCCAGGATATTCAGGTAGGGGGGGTAGCGCCTTTCAGCAATGAAAAATGATAGGATAAGGAGTTGTTGGTAAGGAGTTGTTGGTAAGGAGTTATTAGTAAGGAGTTGTTAGGAAGTAAGGAGTTGTTAGTCAGGAGTTGTTAGTAAGGAGTTGTTAGTCAGGAGTTGTTAGTAAATAAGGAGTTGTTAAATTTCGATTTAAAGCTTTCGTGACTGCAATGATTCATCTTCTTTGGTTCTTTCGGTAAAGTCACGTAGAATGAGAATAAAATAATAAATTGATAAAATAAAATAACACAATAATATTCTCACGACGTTTCGGCCACAACACAAGCGGCCTTCATCAGGTGAAGGGGGCGAGACTGTCTGGTAGGACAGCGCTGGAGTGAGAGAGCCACGTTCAGATCACGGCTTTGAGGCTTAAAAGGCTTAAAAGCCGTGATCTGAACGTGGCTCTCTCACTCCAGCGCTGTCCTACCAGACAGTCTCGCCCCCTTCACCTGATGAAGGCCGCTTGTGTTGTGGCCGAAACGTCGTGAGAATATTATTGTTATTTTATGTTATCAATTTATTATTTTATTCTCATTCTACGTGACTTTACCGAAAGAACCAAAGAAGAAGGAGTTGTTAGTCAGGAGTTGTTACTAAGTAAGGAGTTGTCCTATGCTTTTAATTCGACGCGTGTGAAAGGCATCGCGCTCGCTGAAGGTGTTTGCCTTCAGGGAAGTCGTGTACTGTATAAGCAACTGCGCACAATTCTGTGAGTCGCTTGTAACTGCTTTGCCGTTACTTATTGCCAATTATGAACACGGACTGTTGTCCTCTCATAGAGTCCCTGGCATGTAATAATATGCCACGCGGTGGCAGTGGAGGTCGCACAATGCTGATTTATCTATATTTATAAAAGGGAAATTTGGGAATGTGTGTCTGTTTGAAATGTTCAGCATACTTCCCGACATGCAACACAAACTTGAAATTTGGCACGTGGGTAGCTTCCAGACTGGACACAATGCACAAAGTATTAAAATAGCCGTCATATCTGAGATGTCACCCTATGCGGCAGCGTTACGCAGTGTGCCTGCTGACGTCATGTATACCCCCCCACCAACACTCCGCGAAGGCCGTGTTTTAATCCAAGACAAGAATCAAAGTCCCGGGCAAAGCCGGGTAGTAAAGCTAGTCTACATATAAAAGGGAAATGTGTGGATACGTGTGTGTCTGGTCGAAATGTTTAGCATACTTCCCAACATGCTACACACTTGAAATTTGTCATGTGGGTAGGTTCCATACCGTGCACAATGAAAAAAGTATAAAAATAGACATTTGTATTTTGTATGACCATGAAGTTTGTGACGTCAACCCGCAACACACCTGAGTTAAGCGCTCTGCAATGAATATAGAATTGAAGCTTTCGTGAATGCATAAATTACTCATTGGTTTTTTCGGTAAAGTCACGGATGTAGAAATATAATAAAATTATATTAAAATAAATCACGACGTTTCGAACGCAACACAAGCGATCATCATCAGGTGTAAAAAAACAAATAGCGAGGGAGCACATAGGGTGACATCAACGCAACACATAGAGAGCGTTAAACTGCACGGAGGCAAATACAACAAGAAGATGAGAGACGAGAACTCAACAAAACCCAAGAAAAATTACGTGATGCAAAACCAGTAGGACAACAACACAGTTAGACACTTGCCTGGTAGACCACGAATTTCAGAAGACTGCTAAATTTCGTGTTCATCCTCCGGGTTGAACATACCAGCATAGACAGAGTGAACGGATACGAAGTACAAGGTAGCAGAGATACATACACAGGGAAGAACATCCAGGGAAAGATGTATTTGGCAGCAAAGATAGAGCTGTTAACAGCGTGCCGGGAGATTTTAGGTGGCGCTTCGCTCCTGGCCGATGAAGCCATTGGTTTCTCGGAGTTTAAATACATATCCTCCGTGCGAAGAACGGGTAGAACTGCTATCTTAAATATGAAGCAGAACATTACATCTGTTTGTTTGTGTGAAGCAGCAAAAACCTCTCCAACGCTGACTTCTGGCGTCGTGAAAATTTTCACAGCTTATGCCGTTTGGAATTTCTAAGTGAACGCGACTATTTTCAGCTCACCACGTCATTATTCCCTTCCCGAGTGGCCAAAATCGACCTTGCGTAGAAGTGGATTAAGGTTAAATTTCCTTGAGTGAAAACATCCGATTTAGGTAACTTGATTTGTTTTGCCTTTTTTCTTTCTCGCAAGCATCAACATTTTTAAGGGTTTTTCAGTGAAATATAAGGGATATGAAATTTATCCAAGACAAGAATCCAAGTCCCGGGCGAAGCCGGGTCGTGAAGCTAGTTACTAATAAACCCCAATGATCCTATCGAAATTAGGGATTTCGATCGGATCGTTGGGGGGCACGTGCCTACCCCACCCCCACTGGCTCCACCACTGTCACACACTGGCACGGTTCACAGGTGGTGGTGTGTCCAGACCCACGCTTGGCCACCTTCACCTGCACAGAATTCATGCTTCCTCACTCCACCAAGTAGAGTGAACACCGCCACGCGTCCAGAGTGAACACCGCCACGCGTCCAGATTGAACATCGCCACGCGTCCAGAGTGAACACCGCCACGCGTCCAGAGTGAACACCGCCACGCTGTTGAGGAGCCTCACCTTGTGTTGTGTTGTGGGCAGGTCGCTTCTGAAAACTAAAAGCGGTACAGCAGCTCAAGCGGGCTTGGCCTGGTGTAAAAAATGAAAATAAAAACCGCGTGAATATTTAAAAGTAAAACAAAGTGACAAAGTGGCGAGCCGCATGAAGACAAATTAAACTTAAGCGAGATAATTGAAGCAAACGCGATCAGGCGAGGGCAGGAGGCAAGGCCCCGCGTGGCTAGGCCCCGCGCTGTAAAGTTACAACCTGGACATCGCTTCCACGCTCGCTGCTACTCAATTGACATCTCTACGAGAGAGCGAGGCTCTACCTCGGTAAACAACAACAACAACAACCACAACATCCACAACAACCACCACCACAACATCCACAACAACCACCACCACAACCGCGATGAGAATTTCTCACCTCGGATTTCAGTGCACGGGCGGAGCAGCAGCTTCCTGTTATCTCGTGATGTCACGCGGCAGCAAGAGGTGACATGACGTCACTTGTGGAGAACGATAACACTCCCCTCCCACAATGAGCGCCTCCGTACGTGAATAGATTATGTTAATGCACCGCCAGTCACTGGGCGTGGCCTTGCCCAAATATGGATTCTACTTTAACAGAAAACGGCGACCCAGGCAGAGGTGACGTCACGTTCAAGGGCGCCTTGGACGTCTTGGTGACATGACGTCACTAGAGAGGTACACCTCCCCCTGGCGTTTCACGCCGATGAGGTAACGCTGAGTGGAGACGTCACAGAGAGGGGTTGGATTTTATGTTGATTTAGATTCATTTTCCATTGCTCCCTCCCTTGAACGGAGACCACTTGGGTGTGTGTACACTGTGTGTGTACACTGTGTGTGTACACTGTGTGTGTGTACACTGTGTGTATACTGTGTGTGTGTACACACTGTGTGTGTGTATACTGTGTGTGTGTACACTGTGTGTATATACTGTGTGTGTGTACACACTGTGTGTGTGTGTACACTGTGTGTGTGTACACTGTGTGTGTGTACACTGTGTGTGTGTGTGCACTGTGTGTGTGTACATATTGTGTGTACACTGTGTGTACACTGTGTTTGTGTACACTGTGTTTGTGTACACTGTGTGTGTGTACACACTGTGTGTGTACACTGTGTGTGTGTACACTGTGTGTGTGTACACACACTGTGTGTACACTGTGTGTGTGTTGGTACACTTTGTGTGTGTTTGTACACTGTGTGTGTACACTGTGTGTGTGTTTGTACATTGTGTGTTTGTACACTGTGTGTACACTGTGTGTACACTGCGTGTGTGTACACACTGTGTGTGTTTACACTGTGTATGTGTGTGTGCACTTTGTGTGTACACACTGTGTGTGTGTGTACACTGTGTGTGTGTGTGTGCACTGTGTGTGTTTACATATTGTGTGTACACTGTGTGTACACTGTTTGTGTACACTGTGTTTGTGTACACTGTGTGTGTGTACACACTGTGTGTGTGTACACTGTGTGTGTGTACACTGTGTGTGTACACACACTGTGTGTACACTGTGTGTGTGTTTGTACACTTTGTGTGTGTTTGTACACTGTGTGTGTACACTGTGTGTGTGTTTGTACATTGTGTGTTTGTACACTGTATGTGTGTGTGCACTTTGTGTGTACACACTGTGTGTTTGTGTACACTGTGTGTGTGCGTACACTGTGTGTGTACACTGTGTGTACACGGTGTGTGTATTTGTACACTGTGTGTGTGTTTGTACACACTGTGTTTGAACACTGTGTGTGTGTGTACACAGTGTGTGTGTGTACACTGTGTGTACAGTGTGTGTGTGTACACTGTGTGTACACTGTGTGTGTGTGTACACTGTGTGTGTGTACACTGAGTGTGTACACTGTGTGTGTGTACAGTGTGTGTGCACTGTGTGTACACTGTGTGTGTGTGTACACTGTGGTGTGCAAAACAACCCCCTACCTCCTCGCGGTGCCGGACGGGCAACTCTGTCGTGGACAGTGCTGTGGGGGGAGATCCAATTTTGATTGGCTCCTCCCCTCATGGCATATATGTCCACCACAGGGGCTAAACGGGGACTCTGGACGGGTGCGAGGGGCTGGTAACCCCTCCACCTTCAATTAATTACCACGAAACCACGAATTAAACTGAAATATGTAACTAATAAGCTTGTGCCGGAGGCCCCGGGGGGCCAGGCGTCTATGACGTCTCCTGGCCAAACCCCAATTGGCGGAGCCAGGAGATTGAATACCTACCCTCGGGGCTACTCCAGAAACAACGAAAAGCCACTACGGGTGGCCACGTGGAATGTTCGAATGCTCACTGCAGAGGAGAGGCTGCCACTCCTCTGTCGGGAGCTGGACCGGTACCGCCTGGATCTATGCGGCATTCAGGAGGTCCGGTGGACCAGCTCTGGCTCCTGCCACCATGAGGGGTGGACAGTCCTCTACTCGGGGCAGCAGACTGCCAAACAACAGGGTGTGGGTCTTCTTTTGAACAAAAGAATGAAGGGGGTGTGGGAGCGTGGCGGTGAGGTGTGGGAAGCTGTAAGCCCCAGGCTACTTTGGGCTCGCCTTCCCATCAACCGGAGGCGAGGAATGGTGGTCGTGGTTACTTATGCCCCCACCGAAGATGAACATCCGTGGAGGGATGCAGGCAAAGCCGATGAGTCAGATGCCTTCTATGACCTCCTGTCACAGGTGCTGGCTAAAGTGGCCCCTCGGGATAGAGTCATCATGTTGTGTGACTTCAATGCCCGAGTTGGTCATGATACTGGCACCTGGTCTGGAGTGATTGGAGGGCATGGGCCAGATCAGCTCAATAACAACGGTAGGAGGCTGCTAGATTTTTGTGCAGCCCATGGGCTTGTAATTACCAACACGCTGTTCCGGCATCGGCGCATCCACACAACATCATGGATGCATGCCGGGTCCAAGCAAGAACATCTGCTGGACTACATAGTGACGGACCAGCGAATGCGAGCCCATGTCCTTGACACCAGGACCTACCGTGGAGCTGATCTGCCCTCTGACCATCGACTAGTCATCTGTAAGATGCGCCTGCCATTCTTCCACTCCGGTGGTGGGTGTACACCCAGGACCCCATTCCAACATAAAGTGGCCTGGTCTCAGTTATCTGATGAAAGTTGCAAGCGAGAATTTCATCATCGCTTGCGGCTGGGATTGGCATCGTCCCCGACTCCTCCTGATGTCGAGGGTAAATGGGTGAGGTTTAGGACTGTGACTCATGTAGCTGCAATGGCTGCTTTGGGTACGCGGTCCAGACCTCCCCAGCGACCCTGGCTGACAGAGGAGGTGTTCAGGATGGTTGAGAAAAAGCGACAGGCCCACTGTCATCGGCTACAGAATCCCACGTCAGAGAATGAGGAGGCTTACCGCAGCCTTCGCTCTGAGGTTCGGAGAGCCGTGAGGCGCTGCAAGGATGGGTGGTGGTCGCGGGTTGCTGAGGAGATGGAGTCTGCCTCAGTGGCCCGTGATCACAAATCTCTATTTAACTCCATCAAAAAAGTAACCTGCAGCGCCACACCTATTACCATCATTAGGGGAAAAACGATGATCCAATCTCCGACCCCCAGGAACAGGTTCGCAGATTTGCTGAGCATTTCTGTGAGGTCCTGGGGGAGGGAAAATCCCTCAGCCAGGAAAACATCGTGGCACAAAGTGAGGATGACCCTGCTGAGGCTGCGGTGCCTCAAATATTGGAAGAAGTCACCCCCTGTGAGTGGCTGGCTGAGGTGTCATCTGCTGAGGAGGTATTGAAGGCGATCCGGAGTCTGAGACCAGGAAAGGCAGCGGGCAGAGATGATCTCCCAAGCGAAATGCTGAGGGAGGGTGGCGTTTGTGCACAGACTGCCCTATATGACATCATAACAACAGTCTGGACCACTGGACGTGTTCCGCAGGATTGGAAGGATGCCCTGGTGGTCCCCCTTTTTAAGAAGGGGGACCGCACAGACTGTAACAACTACAGGGGCATCTCACTCCTCAGTGTGCCGGGAAAGGTCCTGGCAAGGATTATTCAGCATCGCCTTGTCAGGCACGCTGAGGAGAGGCTTGCGGAGCCCCAATGCGGTTTCAGGAAAGGGCGGTCCTGCACAGATGCCATATTTTCTGTCCGTCTGCTACAGCAGAGGTGTAGGGAATTCCAACAAGACCTACATCTCTGCTTTATTGACCTGGTCAAGGCCTATGATACCATCAGTAGGCCTGGGCTCTGGGTCGTTCTTCGTGCTTTTGGAGTACCTGACCCTCTGCTCACGATCATTAAGGACCTTCATGATGGTGAGCGGGCCCGGGTAAAACTACGTGGCCGGGAGTCAGAGCCATTCCCTGTACACCTTGGGGTGCGACAGGGATGTCCTCTGGCTCCCACATTATTTAACATCTATTTTGACCACGTAGTTCGTGAAGCCTTCAATAGCTGTACCGGAGGAATCTCCATATGGTACAGATATAATGGGAGGCTAATCGATGCCCGGGTGCGGTCAAGGGATGGCTCCCTATTGCTCAACCACGTTATGTATGCTGATGATTTGGTAATAGCTGCTCAGTCAGAGGAGGAGTTGGAGACGCTGCTGCTGAGACTGGAGCGTGCCACTAAGAGGTGGGGCCTTACCCATCAGCCCCACCAAAACTAAGCACCTGCCTGGGTATTCTGTACCATCGGACACTCCACCCCCACAACTCCCAATTGGTGATGGAGCAGTTGTGGAGAGAGTGGAGAGTTTCCCATACCTGGGCAGTGTGCTTATGACTGGCTCCAGTTTAACAGCAGAGGTCTCACTCCGAATCAGTCGAGCGGCAATATCTTTTCATCGGTTGCGTAACGCTGTGTGGAAGCTACCTGGTCTGTCGCTCCGCACTAAGCTTCAGGTCTTCTCGGCCACGGTCATTCCCTCCCTTCTCTACGCTTGCGAAACGTGGACCCCCCTAATGGAACATCTTCGCCGGTTAGAAACATTTAGGCTGGCCTGCCTACGATCCATCCTGGGTTTAACCAGACTGGATTGTGTGAGGAGCTCACAAATCCTTGAAAGATCTGGGCAGGGTCCCATCGGTGAGCTCCTCCGGCAGGCAAGGCTGCGATGGCTGGGTCATGTAGCCCGCATGCCCAGCCACCGCATGCCGAAACAGCTTTTGTTTGGCCGGATTGAGGGGGCTAAGCGGGCGCGGCACGGGCTAGAGAAGAGATGGAGTGATGTGGTACAGGAGGACGTGGAGCTGAGTGGACTTGCCGATGACTGGTACCAGCGGTGTCAAGATCGGCCTCTGTGGAGGAGGCTCGTGAAGGATGCTACTGGGCAGTTGGAGGCAGTCGCCCTCCAACAACAACGGAGGGCGGAGGAGCGACGCTCACAACAGCGAGCGGAGCGCCGGGTGGCTAAAGCACAGCAGGTTGGCACAGTAGGGGGCACAGGTGGTGCATCAGCCAGTCATCTCAGTCAGTCGACCCGTGGCACCTGGGTCTGTCCCGTGACCTCCTGCCAGCGGGCGTTCGACACTTCACGTGGCCTCACGGTGCACATAGCCTGGCACAAGCGTCGTGGTGACGTCACCGCCACTTAGTGGCGAATGGCGGTTGTTGTTGTTGTTGTGGTGTGCACAGTCATCTCAGTCAGTCGACA